GGTGACATCATCAGTGCTTGTGCAATGATAGTCTTCTGCTTGTATTCGTTCGTTTATATATGTGTTCTTCTCTACCGACCATTTTTGTCCATTGTTCTCATTTTGTTCCACTCGGTTCACCATTAAACTGGTGCGTGGAGGTGAGGTTGGTAGGGGAGGTGGTTGTCCTTCCGTCCTGATTGTGGTTTCGGTCTGTTCTCATGTCACAATGTGACTTATTTTGTTGCATCATTTGATCCTTGAGATGCATTTGCGTGTACACGTGATGTGCCTGTTTATTGAGTTGATTGAAGAGTGCCAAGCTTCGAGAAATTCTCTGGTGTGTTTTGACCGGGCTTGGTCCATAATTATCACTGATTCGAAGTCAAACTGATGTCCTCGTGCCTAGATGATCAGCCACAGAAAGGCTTCTCGGGTCATAGAAGCCACCACGGAGCGGACACATGACCAGTCCCAGTTTCAATTCTTCCCTACGCAACATGTACCAGCTATCACCCTCCGAGTTTGCAAGTCTCTCAGTAGCATAAAATACCTATGATTCTATGTGGATGGTATATTATGTAGTGACTAGTAGCTGTCTGTTAGAAGCCAAACAATCATCTGTTTGGTATATGGTCCACTGCAAACACATTCAATGTGTAGCTTCCTGTATCAACTCAGACAATGTCTTGTACAATCCAAACAAATTCAGAGCCAGGATTTATGCATGACTGCTTTTTTGCATTGGTCGAACTTCTTTGGAAGTCAGTACTCTTTGTCAGCTACTATAAAACGAATAAAGTGAGCTGCATCATACGCAAACCCTGAGGGAGCTGGTATGAGCTTTCCATTAAAAATGTCCAACTGAACTGTTTTTCTTTGTTTTTATGCTTTTCAGAAGCCGGATAAATTCACGGCACTGCAGAACCGGAGAAACAAACTAAGTCTCCATACTATTGGTCACGGAATGTCCTGCATTTGATTGCTTTTCTGCACTCAGTAGTATCAAAGACCCCCTCTCCAAAGTTCTAATCATTTGAAGATGGAATCTGATGTTCGACGGGTGTGTGTATGTGTGCATTGACAGGTTTATAATCCCACTTGCTTACATAACTTTTGGTAGACACTGAACACGATATAATGTCTGATCATTTGAACTAGACGTGATTACTCAGGAAACCAAGCAACATGCCGGGGAGTCGACCACAGGAACACATCCAGTTTTGAAATTTCCACTAATTATTACTTGAGGATGTTTGTCACTAGACATGTCTTGTTTGCCAAATTCGATGAGACTGTAAACTTTGAAAAGTGAGCACACTCTATAGCAATTTACTTGATAAGAGAAAAAGAACAGAAATTAATTCTAGGACGTGGAATAGTAAGGGACCTGATTACGATAGATTTGATGTCGAAGCGAGCGTTAGTAAACCTGCGTATTATTGTGTGGTGAGCGACAGTAGAAAGGTACTACTGTTCTTCCCGTTTGGCGAAAACCGCGGTTGGCTTCATCATGTGCCGTTTATCTCCTTTATTTATTTGCTTATTTATTTCATTTGTTGATAATCCCAAATCCTAAATGTTACAGGAAATTTAATGTATGAATCACAAAATCAAATCTAATGCTATCAGATAAAAAGGCTATTTCACTACCTCGTTTTGACCACTGATTTCCTAAATTAACTCAAAAAGCACGTTTTCCGCAATGTCGTACTTGATCTCGTTTGTTTACTTGCGCGACTCTTGTGCATACAAGAGCTGAGTAAAGTGAGGATAAACTAGACTTATCTCAAGTTGGCATTTGGTATGGACACTTTTAATCCAATCGCTCCTCCTCCCATTAGTTGAATTCCGTCGTATACAGAAATAGCATCTAATCTCACGAAAGTACTGACCCGTTTCTTCGACAAGAAAATACTCACAATCCGAGGTGATCGAATTCATGCACGGGCACGCTTGCGTTCGGGTACGTGCGGACGTGTACCCACGCTTCGCGCATTTGATTGTTCAGTCAAATCCACCCACGCTGTTCTTGGGCCCTGGTTGACGGATGTAACACTAATAAACACGAGAAGTTCACGTTCAACCCGTTTTTCCCTCAAACCATGTCGAGGTTGTGTAACTTGGTCGTATTGACATAACGTCAAGGGGATATGTCACGTAAAGAAATGTTTTTTAAAAACTAGATATCCACCAGAATGGTGTTTGGGCATAGGTGGTTATTGGTTTTCCGTGCTATCCACACGTGTGAGCACCTCGATTTCTCTCTCTTTCTGCCGTTATTGACTGGATCTCGTCTGGTAATCAACCACTACCACCCGTATCATTCCTTTCCATTTCGTTCCACGAAACCGACATATCACATCGGTGCTTTGTTTTTATTGACACCCTCATAACTACTGAGAAGAAGCAGGCTAGTGTAAATTCCATCTGTCACTGATATTTTTGTCCGGTAGGGGCTTCGGTTTTTTCAGCCCATTTCTATTCCGTTAACTCGAAAGTTGGCTCATCCGGGACAGGGAATGGAACGATTAGCGGTGATTATTTGTAAATCATGATCTGTAATCCATTTTATCAGGAAGTACACAAAATGGATTAAGTTCATATTTATTTATCGAAATGTGATCGATACTTCATGGTGTTTCAGGTTTTGCAATATGGTAATAAGGTATAACCGGTGCATATTATTTGTGTCCACAGCATTTTTCGTTATATCCTTGTTTCATCCGTTTTTGTTTTTCAGTCGAATTAAAAGGTGTTAAGAAAGTAATTCCACGGTCTGACGTTCTTCAGTATATTTGGGTACATTGCTCCATAGAAAAACACACTGAATCGTTCAGGTCCAAGGACGCTCGTGTTCATGTAGAGCAGCTTTCAGAGTGCCATCCCAAACGGCAAACGGGATTAACGCATCCGAGTAACAGGCTCAGACTTAAGTCTCCGAGGGGAGCGGGGGGGCGGGGTCAGTTTTTATGTGCTGAGGACAATCTCTAATAAACCGTACAAATCAGCAGTGGGGTACTTGTGGAATTCCCTCTGGATATTTCAATCCCACTTGTTTTCTCAGTCAAATCGATTCCATCACTAATGCACTGTGTTCCAGAGTTCAACAGAGCTGGAGGAATTGTGACACAGGATGATGATGCAACCAGCATTTTATCCGGTGTTTTGCCTGAAATGTTGTTTGTTGTTAGACAGCTGATGGACGAAATCAACAGAGAGCACTTTGACCAAAGTGGTCTAGAAAGAGAGATAGGGTTTGTGTGTGTGTTATAGGTGCCCTTGAATAAGGAGACCTCGAGATACTGGTATACAAACCACTTTGCTTTTAAATGTCAGAAACCCAATTGGGGAGCATTATTAACTCATCGTTGTAATCATCACCCTCTCAGTGACCATGGGACGTAAAAAATCACGTTGTTAACAAGTTATGCGAATCAAAAACTGCTTTTGATAATGGCGCGGAATCTAACCCGCATCCCCTATTCCAATTCCCTCTAATTCTCTTTCTAAGGTCATCAAGTGCTTGAACATTAAAATCCAGTTGTTGAACCATCTGGCAGCCAAACAAACTTTTAACTTCAAAATTCATAAACTCCAGCATAAATCTTAGATCATCCAATAAGCTGCAGCCTCAATAAAATCGTATCAGCAATCCATCCATATACACGGATCCGTCCAGAAGTGGGTGAGTGTGTGTTATCCCTCAGCCAAACAACCCACACCCGGATTCTCCAGGAATTACCGATTCGAGTATGTCTACACTGAGAGTCAGCTAGTTTATTTGGCCTGACAGTAGCGAAATGTTGCCAAAGCGGTAATACCCGAAAATCGAACCAGGATTAGTATACGTTCCTATTCCTGGTAGTCCACTTCACTGTTATACGCTTCATCAGCACACAAACGTCTGAGAAGTCCAATGTGAATTATCGAGCACAACCACTCAGATATTGTCCGACCTGGTAACTGACAGTGTGCGTGTGTCTGTGTCTGCGTAATAGGAAGACCATGTCTAGTCTGAAATCCTAAACACAATAGGCACGTACCGATTGTGCGTAACGTGTCCCTCAACTCGCGCACATTGCCCTCAGCATCCGTGGTTTTCCAATCTACGTAAATTCCTTCATCATCGGCAATATCGGGCCACGCTTCCTGCAACGAGACCTTGTAAACGGGAATGGGCCAAGCATGCTCGGCATTTCCGATTCGCGGAAACGCTTCCGTCATGGTCATTTGCGCATACTGAGAACAAGGGTTCGGGAAGCAAAACCGGACGGGGAGGTTGAGGATTGAAAAATGGACGAAGAGCTTTTAGTTGGAGTCAGGAACGAAAAATTATGATGAAGACCACGTGGAGAATGATATATATGATGATGACGATGTGATCTAGAATGGATGGTGAAAGAGAAAGGAAGTAAATAATGGATAGTGGTGGTATATATATACATATATAACAGTGAGTAGCATATGACAAAATTTCGACAAAATTTCCGTGGAAGCATACTACCGGTTTCTCGGTTGTTGCCGCTCGTTAGGCATGCGTATCCGGTAGTAATTGTTTTTTCAACCATATACTCGTACCTAGGAAATGTATTTTCCTCACAACAGCCTCATTTGCAACACCGGGTGAAATTGTATGTATATATATATATATATATACATATATATATATATATATATATACATTTGTATATATATGTCTGGTCAATCATATACTACTTATTATGAAATATCTGTAAATCTATAATGGCTGATTGAATAGAACTTACAAATGAATTTTCGAAACAAACTTGCTTAGTTACCTCGATTCTGTTCATAACTGATAGTCACATTCATTATACCTGGAAAATAAAACGCATTTTCTACACTA